ATAAACGTAGTGATATCCCAATTTCTATAATAGAAACAACATCATATGCAGAACTCTATAATATTTTAAAGAACAAGCTGAATGTCAATCTCTCTCATAATGACATGGAATTTAAATTTAAATTCAGTGATCAAGTGTTCCAATTCTACCTATGACGATTTCTTCTGATGCCGAAGTGAATTATCTATTTGAAATGAACAATAGGCACCCGACTCTTATTTGCATGACTTTAGCGAGAAAGGATGTCGTCGAAAGTGAACAAGTAGACTTAGATGGAGGGGATCACAATGTTAATGATTTTTGGGATACGGTCCAGATAGCTTCTAAAAATGATGTGGTTCTTCCAGAGACAGTTACTCACAAAATTCTGTCTGTAGTTCACGACAATGAGTGTGAAAATGCAAATACTTTTACAAATGAAGATTTGATTGCTTTATTACGGTAGAGACATGAGCGGGATGGGACCTCAAGGGCTGGATAGAGTGAACCGTCCTCTAACTCCTCGCGTGTAGGTCCCGCTAGTGATGATTTTTATATCGAGCAACTGTTTGAAACGAAAAAAGATTGGAGGAAGCTATACACCTAATTGAGCTGAAAATAAAAAATAATAATTAAAAAATATAAATATAAATATAAATTTAAAATGAAAATTAAAAATGAAAATTAAAATTATGATATAAATTTATGCAAATTGAATAAAGACTGTGATATTTTTACCCTATTATCAAAAATAATAATTAAAAGAAAAATTTTAAATTAAGATGAAAATAATAAATTATTCAAATTAAATAGAGAATATGAAAATTTTACCCTATTACCAAAAATTAATAATTAAAATGAAATGAAAATGAAAATAAAAATGAAAATAAAAATAAAAATAAAAAGTTAAAATTAGAATTAACAAATTAAATTGAAAATTAAAATGAAAATGAAAAAAATTATTCAAATTAAATAAATAATATGATTTTTTACAGTACTATCAAAAATTAATAATTGAAAATAAAAATTAAAATGGAAATTAAATTACAATTACAGTTAAAATCAAGATTAAAATTCAAATTTACAATTAAAATTCTAATTCTAATTCAAATTGAATAAAGACTATGAAATTTTTACCATATTATCAAAATTTAATAATTTAAATTTATATAATAATTTAAAGTTTAGATGAAAATATAAAATTATTCAAATTTAGTGGAGAATATGAATATTTTACCCATTACAAAAATTAATAATTAAAATTAAAATTAAAGTTAAAATTAAAATTAAAATTAGAATTAAATAATTAAATTGAAAATAAAAATAAAAATGAAAATGAAAAATTATTCAAAATAAATAAATAATATGAATTTTTTATGAATTACCAAAATTTAAAATTAAAATTAATATAATAATTACAATTACAATTACAATTAAAAAATTATAATTATAATTATAATTATAAGGAAAATTTTAAAATAAAAAATGAAATTTAAATTTAAATTTAAAATAAAAAGTTAAAATTAAAATATTAAATTGAAAATAACAAATTTATTTAAATTTGGCAAAGAAAAGAATATTATTTCATTTAAAATTGAAAATATTAAATATTTAAATTAATTTTAAAAAAAAATTACCACCTGTTAACAACCGATTTTAGCCCGACTGTTAACGACTAAGTAGTTACAGTCAGGTTAAAACCAACTGTTGACAGTCGGCCAACTGTTAGCGGTCAGCTGTCAAAGCCATCTTCTTCATCTCACCGAATTCCTCCATTTTTTATGAGATGAAGCTCCACACAAACCAAAATCACCACATTCATCACCCGTACTCAACATTTAATCTAAATAATACCAACAACACATTGAAGACCCATGAAAAACTAATTAAAACTCAACAAAATAATTAAAGCTCATAGAAACTAATTAAAACTTGACAAAACTAACCTTTTCAAGAAGAAGAATGTAGCCGGCGGTTGGGGAAGCTTGCTGTTGGCTGATTGTGAATAGTGCGCCGACTGGGAGAACTAACTGGGAGTAGCGAAGAATGGGAAGAGATAGATGGAGGGGGATACTTTTGGACAATTGACTTAAAATTCAATTTTTTTTTTAAAACTCAGTCAAAGGCCAAAGTGGAAAAAAAGATGGGTCAACCGGTCATTATCACTTATTTCCTCGTGATTTTAAAGGTTTTCAGTTTTTCTACTGGTTTTTATTGTTGAAGATTCAAAATTTCAAATTTTTTATATGTTATAACAGGTCTTTCAACAATATTGGGTTTGGATCACGAGTCATGAAACCAGCAGGGTTGGGAAAAGTTGCCGAGAAAATCATTTTCTTAATTTATGACAATGAAGTGTAGTGTGGGTTATGGTTAGGTTGCGTAGGGGTGATAGGTTGGTTTTGCTATTTTCTGATTTGGCAGGGTTGGTCCTTTGGCGAGGCCAATGAGGCCTGCGCCTCAGGCCCAAAACCGGATGGGGCCTCATTTAGGCCCCTTTTTTATTTTTATTTATTTTATTTCTTTTAAATGAAGTGAAAGGAAAATATGTTTTTCATTCCCTTTCCCTCCTGCAAGTTGCCACTGCTTCGCCTACGACTCCGGCCTCCAACTTCTAAGACTCCAACTCCAACTGGACCAGCGACCAGGCGATTATTGAGCTTTCATGTAGGGTTTTATCGTAAAACTTTTACCTTGGTTTGTATTTTGATTTTTATAGTGATGTCTATTTTCGTTTTCTCTTGTTATTTGTCAGAAATTTTTGCTTTCTTCCTATGTATGTCGACCTTTCTGTAGTGTTGTAGGCAGATTTATATTTGGAGATTTTAAAGTGATATGTAACTTGAGTTTAATAGATTCTTCAGTGAAAACGAAAAGTTCAATCTCCACTTCATCCTTCTTATGTGGTGTAATGTTATTTTCCTCCGGTTTATGGATTTGACTTTCTATATCTTTTCCCAATTGAATTAAAACCCCCCAAATCCTTGAAATCCACTTGACATTCGAAAAGCCCTTTTTTTTTTTGGGAAGGGGGGGGGGGGGATATTAAAAATTGCAAAAAATATGCATAATACACTAATCATTTTAAAAACCTTTTTTTTTTTGGGGGAGGGGGGGGGGGGGATATTAAAAATTGCAAAGTTTATTTACAGATATATGGCGCAATGGGTTGTATGATTTTTGTTTTTTAAGCTCAATGATTTGTAATCCCTAATTTATGTTGTATTGGAAAATTCAATTGCGTACATATTCTTTCTGGTGAAAATTTTTTCTGTGTTGATTGGCTTATTGTTTACATTTCCTGAAATTGGTTGGGCATTGAATGTGATAATATAATGTAATCCTGATTTTACGTTTTACTTATAATATGTTCCTTAGTTTAAACTTCTTAAGCTTGTTGATTATCTTCATTATCTGAATTTGGTAAATATGATGCCACAGCACACACACAAAAAAAAAAAAAAAAAAAAAAAAAAAAAGTTCAAGAGGAGGCAGATTGATCAGAGGCATACCCAGTAAGTCACATAGGGCTCAACTCTGTGCAACATATTCAGCGTTAAAAATCTACATAAATAGAAACCGATGGATGAAAATTATAAGAGAAAAGGGTGCAAAAAGATCTCATACTGTGCTAAAAGGTTATCCATCGTCCACTGCAGGTTTGAATAGGAAAAAATGGACATAGGAGAGGTAGAATAACCATCATAAGAGGGGTCCAGACTTGACGCCAGAGGACCTGTAGTACAGACTGACTTGTGCAATTTGTATTTGTGAAATTGTGAGTTGTGAAATTTGCAAATTGAAATTATAATCCGTTTTTAATTGTCTTTCTTTTTAATTTTGGGTTCCTGTAATCTTATCTATGGTTTGGTTTCCTCTTTTTGATCTTATCTATTGCTTAAAAATTTTTGAAGCCTTGTTAACTTATATAATTGTGGCCTAGTTGGCTTATATGATTGGTTATTGTAGGATCAATTGCATAAGCGCACGTAGAAATTGTTTTAAAAACTTTAATTATGAGATGATTGATAATATTTATTTGAATATGGAGATCAATATTCCTATCATGTTCATATTTGTATTAGTGTGTAATTTGATGATCATGTTAATATTTGTAATAGCGTTTGATGTGAAATTTTTGTTTTAGGGTCGGGAGTTGTGAGTCTTGTGATAGTGGAATTCTTGAAGATGTAACTCCGCAGTTTTCGTTGAAATTCTACTTGTTAGGTAAGCTATGGGTTGCCTTAACTAGTTATTGAAGAAATTGAAAATGTTTGAAGCCTTGTCGGCTTATATAATTGTGGCCTGGTCGGCTTATATGATTGATTATTAGAGGATTAACAATTGCACAGGCGCACATAATAACTACATTGAAAATTCTAACTGTGTGATGATTTGAGATATTTTGTAATTGTTTTTTAGGTTAATCATTGGGTATTAGATATAGACTTATACACCATGCCTCCTAAATATGAGTCTGATGCTCAAAAGAGAAAAAGGAAATGAAATGAAATTTCATTAATTCAAAGTCAGCAGGGGATATTGACAAGTACTTTAAAAGCAATAATGTGAATACATTGAATGAGGATGAAGTAGAGATTCAACCTGCATGTGTTAATGAAGTAGATGATAAAGATGAAGAAGTGAGTCAACTTGCCTACGTTAATGTAGTAGATGCTAAGAAAGAAGAGGTGATGAAACCTGCATGTGTTAATAAAGTAGATGACAAGGAAGAAGAGGGTTGCTTTTCTCTAAATTTGGATGATCCCGGGAATTGGAAAATCATTAATCAGAGAACAAAGGATTACTTAGTTGAAAGGGGTCCAAAAAGAGTTGATGACATCTCGTTTCCGAAAGATTGTACAAATAGGCATTTTGATTCTTCACAATATAAGCGATTGCTATGAAATGGGATAGAAGATGGCTAGTATATTCAATATCTAAGGACATGATCTTTTGCTTTTGTTGCAATTTGTTTAAAACACCCAAAAATGTTACTAGAGTTGGCTAACTTGGTAACGATGGATTCAAAGATTGGCATAATTTGCATCGATCTATTAAAAGCCATGAAGGAAATGAAGAGCATTTATGTTGCATAACTAGCTGGATTGAATTGGAAAATAGGCTTCGAACAAAAACTACAATTGATAAAAGCGTTGAATTGTTGATCGATGTAGAAAGAGAACATTGGAGGCATGTATTAACAAGGATAATCGCTATTGTAAAAAGACTCGTCAAAAACACCTTGCCGTTTCGAGGAGATGATGAGAGGCTAAATGTTGAGAACAATGGTCTATTTTTACAAATGGTAGAAATGGTTAGTGAATTTGATCCAATAATGAAAGAGCACCTTCGGCGAGCTAATGCAAAAGAGATTCAATACACGTATCTTGGTAAAAAAATCCAAAATGAGTTGATACAATTGTTGGCTAATGAGGTGAGAAGTGCAATTGTCAAGAAAGTTAAACATGCAAAATATTTCGCAGTTATACTTGATTGTACCCCAGATGCAAGTCATGAGGAGCAGATATCGTTAATAGTACGATTTGTAGATGATTCGGCAAACTTACCTACAGTTGAAGAACATTCGCTTGAATTTTTGAAGGTAGATGACACAACAGGACTTGGACTTACAACCGAGCTTCAAAAGGCTTTGATCAAACTCGATCTGGATATTGATGACATTAGAGGGCAATGATATGATAACGGATCTAACATGAGCGGGAAGCACAAAGGTGTGCAAAGAAGAGTACATGAAATGAATCCCCGAGCTTTCTATACTCCATGTGGTGCTCATAGTCTAAATCTAGCGTTATGTGATATGGTGAATTGTTGTTCCAAAGCTGTATCATTCTTTGGAGTGATACAACGCATCTACACTTTGTTTTCATCTTCTACCAAGCGATGACAAATTTTTAAAGATAATGTAAAAGAGTTGACAATGAAGCCGTTGTCACAAACACATTGGAAAAGTTATGTTGAGAGTGTAAAGCCTATAATGGAGCAAACTGCACAGATAAGAGAAGCATTACTTGATTTGGCAGAAATCAACGTAGATCCTAAAGTAAAGAGAGAAGCCGAGTTATTGGCAACACATAAATTTCAAAATTTTGAGTTCTTGCTTGGCATGGTAATCTAGTACAGGTTGTTGCATGCAGTAAATATTGTGAGTAAATTTCATCAAATCGAATCCATGGATATTGATCATGCTATCGACCTATTGCAAGGACTTGTTTCATTTCTTGAAGATTATAGAGAAATTGAATTTGTCATTGCCATGGATGAAGCGACAAAAAAGGCAAACGAAATGAGAATTGAAGCTGTATTTACAGAAAAACGCATAATTTGAGGAAAAAAACAATTTGATGAAAACTATAGTAATGAGGTAAAGCAAGCAGCAAAATAATCATTTAGAGTTGAGTACTTTGTTTTTATAATTGATCAAGCTCTATCTTCTTTGAGAACTCAATTTGAACAATTCAAACTATATGATGATATATTTGGATTTTTGTTTAATTTGAAGAGGTTAAGGAGTGCAACTTTATCAAGTTTGCTGAACTCATGTATGAATCTTGAAAAATATCTTGAACATGATGGGCTTTCGAACATCAGTGGAGATGATTTTTGTTCGGAGTTACAAGTCTTGAAGATTTATTTACCAAATGAAGAACAAGAGCAATTGAAGTGCTACACTATTTGAAGACATTAGATGTTTGTTTCTCAAATGCTCATATTGCTTAGAAAATTTTGTTAACCGTACTAGTTACAGTTGCGTCCGCGGAAAGAAGTTTCTCGAAATTGAAGTTGATCAAGACCTATCTCCGATCAACTATGTCACAAGAAAGATTAAACGTGCTGGCTATGTTATCAACAGAAGAAGAAATAGTTGAGCAGCTAAGTTATTTAGATTTCATTGATGTTCTTGTCTCTAAAACAGCAAGACGAATAATATTTAACTAATTGTTTGAAATTTTTGGTTTGATGGTTTATAATATAAATCGTTTCTATGATATATTTCGTTGTTGTTTTAATGTTAGGTTTTTAAGTTAGCAATGAGTCGCATAATACACCTTTGAATTTTGTCGTTGGGGGGTCTAATTTTCATTGTTCGCCACAGGGCCAATCAAATACAGGATCGGCTCTATGATTTGGTAGTTGTGGAAGTGTCGATTTGGGTTTCTTATCTGTAGATTTTGATGGTAGCAGAGCTTGTTGAGATAGACCAGATGGTATATATTTCATTATTCGATGGTGGATGGGGATGAGGGTGTTATGATGCTATTGTGGTGCGAATTTAGATTGATGCGGAGTGAGTGGAAGAAGAATGGGGCTCAAACAATATCTCAAAATTCATTTTTTTCAAAACTCAATTTCAACCACATATTCTTTAACAAAATAATATTATACGCAAATTTAATTTTTTTCTTTAATTTTTAACCACACGAACCATTATTTAAAAATACATTCTTTCCATTAAAATGAGGCTCAAACATTTATTATTCTTTTTGCTGATTTTTGTTATATTATTATTATTATTATTATTATTATTATTATTATTATTATTATTATTTTAAGTGGGATTTTATAGAAGAACATTTTTGCTCTTTATTTTTTAAGTTAAATGATTGTCAGTTAAGAAAAAATTGTCAACTAATAATCATTTGGATGGAAATTGTCCAGAGGTCCTCAAAATGTACATTTATTAAAAGACTTGAGATGTAGGTGCTAAGAGTAGAAGGTTTGAAAACTGGCTACACATTTCTGAAAAAGGTTTAAGATTTTGCTGTAAATTTCTAATTTTGTTTATTAAAAATTTACGTGTAGAATTGTACTTTTAAATAAAATTAATGATAAAAATGGATGAATAACATCAATAGGGAAGATGTGATATAAAATGAAACGTCGTGGACGATATTGCCAGAAAGCGACACGCGTGAAATTTATCTTTATGAAATACAACATAGCCAAAGAGATCTTGCAGGTTTTTCTTCAAAGCTAAACAAAAGTTCGGGATACTTTGCACTAGAAAATCCAAATCTTTGAAAAACGTGTCGATAACTCCTAACATTCTAATATTAGCACCTATATCCAAAATCTTTTAATATACGTACGCATGAAGAACCTATAGAAGGATTCTATTTAAAGAACCATTAGTTGAGCAAAATTTTATCAATGTACCTTCATTTTGACATATTTAAAATGTCAAATGATGACTTAACATTTAATGAACTAAAATAATTAAAAACAAGAAACAAAAATAATTAAAAAAAAAATAAAAAATAAAACACTTATCTATCCCCACCCTATCCAAAACCATCCTCCCTACCCCATCACCCCAACTGCTACTAACAAATGAGAATTCTCCCGCAAGTTTGGGTTGGAAAACAATAGGAGAAATCTATCACTTTGCTGTAAATGTTGGGAATTTTACGCCAATTCTCTTTATTTCTATTTACCTGCATGATCTTTTATTGTTCCAAAGAATATCAGCAAACAAGAAAAAATAAAGAACATAACTCACAAATTAAATGGACCGTCAAAACTTTTCACAATATGAAAAATTTTTACAATCATATATAATTTCACTCTCCAACTCAATCCCCAAGTATTATAAAGAAAAAAAATAAACTCGAGTTTTACCGCACCTACTTTTCTACCCAATATACGAAAAATCTCAAGATGTTAGGTTCACAATATTTTTCTCTCAGATCAATTCTCTGCCCACACAAAAAAAATAATAATGAAATATATCCACTATTTATAGGATCAATAATCAAGTTAAAGAGTTTAATTTAAACTCAAACAAGACTCTTTTGACTCAACAAGGATTCCTTCATGTGCAAAACTCCAAAATCAGTTGTAAATTGGAGACCAAATTTTGCATAGATTCTATTCTCAACTTTAATTAAAAGTCTTTCATACAATAACTACATTTTATTATTTGCACTAGAAATCTTCCAACTTTTGACTTTTGAAACACTTACCCAACAGTAATACCATGTCGTACCCGTAAATCACAATAAAATCTTGAAAACTTTTCCTTAGCTTTTATGACACTGGGTTTTTGCCACTTAAACCCATACTTTTGAGTAGAAAAATGGGAGAGAAATTCCTCGAGTCAGTCATCAAACCAGAAATAAAATCTCTTTTGCTTTTCCATTAGGGCGATGATGGTTGTAGTGGTGTAGGTGGTAGGTGATATTGTAACATCCTAATTCATCTAGCATGATATTGTTCATCTTTTGGCCTAGCCTATATAGTTTTATTCTTAGGCTTTCACCCAAAAGGTATCATAACATTTACAGTGGTCATTTTACTTAAAAAATAGTCTCATTTTCTTTCCATAGATAATGTGGGAGTATGGTTGCTAAAATTGCCCTTCCAGAGAGGCCTAACAACCTCGTTGGCTACACTTTGGCTAGTTTTGGGTTTTGATACCATTTGTAACACCTCTACTATATTTCATATGATATTGTTTGCTTTAAGCCTATCCCACACGGTTTTATTCTTGGATTTTAGCCAAATGGTCTTATACCAATTGAAATTGGTCATTTAATTTATAAATTAGCTCTATTTCCATTTTGAACAATGTGGGATTATTGTTGTTGTATAATGATATGGCCTTTGGCCACAGTCCACAGGATTTGGCCCAAAGCATTGAGGGTTCATCTCAACATGGATTTCTATCATATGTGTAGCAATTTGAACTTAACCACCTACTTGGAATACTTAATTTGAAATTAAGTACCAATTGAGCAAGTTCTCAATTGGCTCAATTGATACCAATATTCAATTTAAGTCTCTCTTTAGGGAGATGTCAAATGTTCAAATCACTAGGATAGAAGTAAATTCACATTAGGACCCAATTTCCAATGTGTTGGTTAAAATTGTAATTGGTTATTCCCAAGTTCAAAATCATGACCTATTGAGTTGTAATTAAATTCGAAAACAATAGCAGATTGGTAGTAAGGTAATGATGGAGTCAAAGATGTCAAATATCGACTAAGGAAAAAAATCGACGCAAAATCGCTAGCTAAACTTGCGAGACACTCTCGAACACTCAAAGTAGGAGAAGAGTCGCTTGATAAGCTTGAGGCTTGAGTTCGAGCGACGTGGTCAACCGGGAAAGTCCTATTCGCAAATCTAAAGCTACTTTCCAATCTAATTCAACGTCAAACATTTAAAGCTATTTTCCAATCTAATTCAACCTCAAACACTACCTATTAAAAATACCCAAGCATGGGTCCATCCTAAAGGGTATTTAATCATTATTTTCATATTAGATATCATATTATTGAAGATCCTTCATAATTCATCCCAAACATATTATGTTGTTGGTTGAGCTTTAATTTTAGTCAAGAGAATACTCTTTAGAGATCAATTACATATCCCATAAATCTCTTACTTCAACCAAAGATCAAACCAAATAATTTCTAAAGACCAAAGACCAAAAAACCTTACCTTCACCTATAAGATTTTAGAGTTCTAAAGTTGGACTAGAGGTACTTGGAGTTCCAGCACTCGGGAATGAATTCATTCTTGGTGACCCACAGGAGGAAAAATAGCCCAGATAGCTATGAAGTATGGGTCGCACAATAGAAAAGTTCTTTGATGATTTACAAGTTAGATAGTCAAAGTAAGCTAAGGTTTACTAGTATATGGACCAATTGTAAGTTGGTTTCTTGTGGATCTTCTTGG